TGAATGGACCAGGTTGAACATGTCCCGTCGCCCTGTGCCAGCAAAGCTTCCATAGCTTGATGAGCTCCGAGCATTTGTGCAGCATTCGCCGCATAGTATGTAGGGTCAACCGGATGTGGTAATATCCAGGATCCTGGTCCATGTCATCCAACAAAGTGAGTCGAAGTATGGCATTGGCCCCAGCACAACGAAGTCCGAGCGACTGGATAGCCAAAACTCTCAGTTGTTGGATATAGCCATCAGCAATGACACATGCAGCTGAACCATGCAGGGCAGCAGTCCAAAAAACAATGGGGAGCGCCTTAAGCTTTTGAGTCAAGGGTGCACGGGACCTCGAGAGTCGTTGCCACTTGGGACGTAGATTGTCCCCTCTGTCTTTTAGCTGTTTGTTTCGAACTGCCCTGCAAAAGGCCATGCTTCCTCCCAGCTCGCGTGCGTCCAGGAGACAGCGGAAACCAGCCTGCTTGATCAGCTGCCTTGCGCCGGTATGTGTAGACCACCCGAAAGTCTTGTCATCATCCAACTCAAGGCCCCATAATGCCAGACATTCGTTGGTGTGAACAAAGGCACGATGGAGCTCGTGCCAGTCTGGCCCGTGCAGGTCTAGGTTGTCGACAAAGGATCTCAATTCAACCTTCGGAAAGTAACATCGAAGGAATTCATGATGCCCCCAATTTACCAAGATCATGGCAACAATTGACAATGGACACCCTTCCGGGTACCCCCGGTTTGAGGTCACAGGTTCAGAGACCCCGTGGTGAATCTGGAATCTGCGCTCGAAATGCACTAAAAACTGTGCCCAAGGGGAAAGAATTCGCTCAGGCAGTCCAACATGCATCCCGACAGCAAAGGTGGGTTCTCGCTCAATATTGTTGAAACATCGTCGGACATCAGCTGAAATGCCATGCCACGAAAAACCACAAGTGATACTTGCTTCAACCCAACCTTGTATTAACATCCAGATCTGAGAAGTCTCTTGGCCAGGAACGAAGCCGTGGATCTCTGGAGGCAAGAACTTGACCAATTGTGAAAGCAGCTGCTTGGTCCGCATGGATCCCCATAGGCGATATGCAACTGCAAACACATGTATGGGCCGAAAGTCTCCAGGCTGCGTTGGGCTACAAACCTTGGCCACACATGTGATCAGACCAGTCAAGAATTGATGTGGCCAGTTCATGGTCCCAAGTTCCAAGGAATTGAAGAGGTCAACGATCCACTGCAAGTAGACCTGAGGCATGTGTACAAAATCATGACGAGACACACCATCGGGCCCAGTGGCCGCTGTTTTCTTCATTTTCCGGATCGCCCGCTTCCAATCATGCAGAGTGAGCGGTTGAAGTTCAAATTGGAGCTTCGGCAAAAAGGCTAAACAAAAAGCAAACACCTGTTGCAGACGTTCCCTCGAAGTGTCCACAGTGGCTTGCCACCGACCTTTCCAATGCTGTACAAGTTTTTGGCAAACGTCCAGATGGTCGGTGCAGAAAATTCGCTGCGTCAACGTAGTGCCAACCGCAACTTGCGTGATAGGGACTTTGCATACCACGCCATCAAAATCAAAAGGAGTGATGGCCCGAGTGCCATCCTCATCATCTATCCACCAAAGTGAGTTTTCGGTTGTGTCGGCTGGTGCGTCAAGATGCACTTGCTGATCTTCGGAGTCCAGCACTTCATATTGCATCTCAGTGGTGAAGAAAGTCACCGTGTCAGTCTTTGCTGGTTTGAGGTCTTGAAAAAGGGCTCTCATAGTTCCCTGGTAGCGGAGTTCAAGTCGTTCAGATCTTTGATTCTGGTGCCACCGTTCAAAAGCACGGAAATGAGAGACAAATTCCAAGTATATGAGCTCGGCTTGTTCCAGGTGTGGGACAGAAGCAGGGAGCTCAAAACAAGCATCTGGGTTGTGACTGGTTCTTGTACACCACCAAGTCCGGAAGTCCGGGTCAAATCCCTTTGCCCGAAGGATTGCGGTCCAAACCTCAATTCGATACAAGTGGCTGGTCACCAAGTCACGAGCAGCCCGAAGGTTGTGCAAAAGACTCTGGATACGCTTGGCTTGATCATACCACCTTTTAACGGCGTGCCCAAGAAGGTCAAACGAAAGTCCAAGTTCACCATCTCGTGGTTTCTTGCAAACCGGAGTGGCGATCTCTCTTGTCTCTGGAGCTAACCTTTGCACTCGTCCAAGGGCATTAGGGGGAATCAGGACGTTTGCAGCATTTGCCTCAAACTTGAATAAAATCAAGGATCCCACCCTCAACAGTGCGGCACTTGGGACCTCCATACCAACATATCGAGTCTTTACAAAATCAACAGCCCCAAGAAAGAATGCTGCCCTTACAAAATCACCCACCCCACCCCCACAAAAATTGGTACCTGGAAATGAACTTTTTTGTTTACAATATCGAAGCTCTTTTGCAGGTTGATTTTGTAAAGGAAATTTGAAGGAGGATTACATAGTTATAGAGGGTTTGAGCGTTGAGACACACATTCTTCGCCAATTTTCCGATATTTTCCACAAAGAAATCACAGCACCAAAGTGGTCGTTCGTGTCCAGGCGGCTTCACCAGGTCGAGTGCCCCTCACTCGTAGACATTCGTCCACCACGAGCCTGGCGACCAACGAAAATGACTGTTGTGCTTTTCCGATCTAATTGCTGGCATCGCTACTAGGAACAAGGACGCTACTAGGGGCTCCTGGCATTGCTACTAGGAGCAATGTCCGCTACTAGGGGCTCCTGGCCTTACTACTAGGAACAAGAAGCATGCTAGACCGGGTAGACTGCGAGTAGAAGGTGGTACCTGGTAGCTAACAAGCAGCTAAGTAATGGAGGCATATGGAGGCAGCGTAGGTTGGGGGCCATCGCTATTGAGTTGGAGGTTACCGCTAGTAGGGCCAACAGGGTGGGGCAGGCCGAAAGTGTCAGGTATTGGACACTCCTAGTACGCAGGAAAGCGCGCGCACTATTCAATTGGTTTGTAGATCTTTAGGGAAACTTGCTTGACGAGCTCGCTCCATCCATGGCTGGCGATGACCTCCAACCTAATAGCAATGGCTTCCAACCTACTAGCCATGGCCTCCACCCTAAGAGCGATGACCTCCAACCTAATAGGAATGGCTCTTGGAAAATAAATACACCTATTTGCAGTGAACACGCAAGCCAGCACAGCTTTTGCCAACAAGCCAGGCTGACCCTCGCCGGTCGGTCTGCCCATGTTCCTAGCTCCAAGCACGTCGCAAAATGATCATCGACACCCGCTGGTCGCAAAAGCGAAGCAAAACCGAGAGGCAAAAACGAGGCCATTACTACTAGTAGCAAGAAGCTACTAAGAGGAAAGGGCATCGCTACGAGAAGCAAGGACGCCACTAGGGGCTCCTGGCCTACTAGCAGCAAGAAGCTACTAGGTTGAAGGCCATTGCTTCCAGGTTGGAGGCGCCATGAGTGCCTTGCCGATCTTCTCGCAGAGTGCACGGGTGAAGGGTCGCATCCCCACTCCAGCCACCCACACGAGGATACCATAGTCCATATCCACCAGTCCTTCCTAACACGAGAAAGGTGGTCCAGTGGTCCACAGTCCGGTATGAACAAAGCATAGAACAAGCCGTAGGTTGGAGGCCATCGCTACTAGGGTGGAGGCCATCTCTGCTACAAACAAAGAAACACGAACAGGATGAAAGGTCGCAGGTGCCTCGGTCGCAAGATGAACTCTTTCTTCTTCCACTTTTTTGACCATGGCCTTCCTCATCTTCGAGATTGGTCGACGTAAAAGGACAACTTGGTGACTTGGTGTGTATGTTTCAACTGCCGTGTGAGCCAAGTGGCAGCTTGACGGACACCCCTTGCCTCTCAAGGTGGTCTTGGACATACTTTCCTCAAACACACGCTGTCTCACACATTCTCCGATTTCACGATGCATGCTTTTCGGTAGCTAACAACATTTCTTCCAATTTCCTCGGATTGTTTGGCCAAAAAGAAGCAAGCGCGAAGACAAAGGGAAACTAACGCACTCGTGGATGACAAGGCGCGAAGACAACTTGTCAAACCTCAGTTCGGATTCGTGGACGGCTCTTGCTTTACTCATTTGTCAGGCTAGTAACAAGAAGCTACCAGTAACAAAGGGCGCTACTAGTAGGTTTTTGAAGCTACTAATAACAATAATGTTGTCGTTGGATTAATAAAGTACTCCAGAATAATGTCTTTGTTTTGGGAGGGGTAGTTGTAGTGGGATAGTTTTTATTGTTATAGTTTACTTTTTCCCTTTTGATGTGCTTTACTTACCTAAGCTCTTTAGTCTTTAAGCTGTCCAAAAGTTTCCCAAAGTCATTGCACACTTTCTTTACAAAATCCCTTATTCAAAAGTATTAAAAGAAAAAACATTCAAGCAAAGGGGGTAGTCCAGCAAGCAGCTTTCTGACTTTATTTAGGGGGTGCCCCTAGAATAATGTCTGGAGATTTCAGGCTCCAAAAAATGTGTTGCTTAATCATTCCCTTATTTCCTGAAAGTCAGATTCTTGTCATTTTTAGTATTGCCAGAGATAGCTAAGACATGATTCTTTTCATTTTTAGTATTGCCAGAGATAGCTAAGACATGATTCCTTTCATTTTTAGCTAAGACATGATTCCTTTCATTTTTAGTATTGACAGAGATAGCTAAGTAATGATTCCTTTCATTTTAGTATTGCCAGAGTAGCTCCAGAGGTAGCTAGCTAAGGATTCCTTATTTATTGATCAATTGATTGTTTTTCTATCATATTGTTCTGGAGTCTCAATTGTTGATAGGGGGGGGGGACCCCGGGGGCGGGGGTTTATTAATCAAGAGTCAACATTAAGTTTTTTGGGTAGGTCTTTGAAGCTTCTTAGTAACAAGAAGCTACTAGTAACAAAGGGCATCGCTACTAGTAACAAGGACGCTACTCGTAACAAGGTGCTCTTGCTTATCGGCTGCACACCCTCTACATGTTTCCAAGGAACATCGTGAGCAACGATGGCAGTGCCTCCACCAAGGTCACCTGGAAGTACTCAGCGATTTTTGGGTAGCGGCCTCAAATCGGGCGATGGCCTCCAACCGTAAGTTTTCCTAAGCATCGCGCGAGCTATCCTGCGTCCAAGGTAGCTACTTGCAGTAGTAGCTACGGCCTATCCCCCCCCGCGCGCCCGCGAAAAAGCTCCGGGCAAAACACAAAACAAAAAACTCCTCACCCCTCACCTCTACTTAGCGAAAACTACCCAAAAACTCTCAAGATCTCTCCAAGGCGTGCTTAAGATCTTCACCACAGAACTCAACTCCGGTGGGTCCGCCACCCACCACCACGAAACTCAAGAGCTGTTTCACCTGAACTCCGTGCAACTCCGATTCCTTCAGACCCTACGGACATCGTTTGTTTGCTTCGAATTCAACCCTAAACTGTTGGACAACCCTGCAACCCAAAAACTGTTTGCATCCATAGGCTCCTTGTCTATGTTTCCAGCAGCAAGCGCCACCTCTGCCCGCTCGATGATGTCCAACATCTCCTGGGACTTCTGGACCTTTTTGAACATTTGTCAAACACATCGGCCTCCGACCTACTAATGATGGCCTCCGACCTAGCGATGGCCTCCAACCTCACATTTTGGCTTCGCTGGTGGTTCTTATTGCCTTCTTCCAATCAGATCAGTCCTTGCGCACCCTTCGCCCATGCTCAATCTCCTTCAAGAACCTTCATAAGTACGCGACGAGAGAACAATACGTTGATCTAGATCTTCAGCTCTTGCCTGTCTTGGCACCTCCCCTTCAGAAACGAGCAAAAACACACATCTTCATCACTGCCTGCCGTAGGTGTCAACACCTGGAATGCCAAAGGTGTTGGGCTGCGCCCCCACCTAAGACATGTATTCTTGCCGCTCAAAATGGGTGGCTTGCCGCTCAACGTCAAAGGGTCCGGCAGCCACAACCAGGTGGTCATAGTCCAATTCCAGTCCACTGTCGCAAATGACCTGCCAAAGAAACTCCGCTACTAGGAGCAAGGACGCTACTAGGTGGAGGCCTTCGCAAGTAGGTTGGAGGCCATCGCTACTAGGAGCAACGACACTACTAGTAGCTCCTGGCCATACTACAAACACACTTCTGTGGCCATGGAAAGGGAGAAGGGTCGACAGGCTTTTTGAGTTCTAAATTCAAATAAATTTGGAAAGACACATCCAAACGGCCATCGCTCTAACCTAAGAGCGATGGCCTCCACAACACTGGCAATGGCCTCCAACCTAAGAGCGATTTCCTCCACCCTAATGGTTGAAGCTGTCCTTACATTTCTTTGTGTTGCAATAAAGTCAAGACAGCCAAGACAGACCGGAATCGAAAGGTCTTCAAGAGCGTTCCTTGTTTAGCACAGTTAAGACCTTTGGACAAATTTAGACCTTCCTTTTTAGACTTGTATTATAGTCTTTAAGTTTTTTTTTGTGTTCCGTTTCATTGATTTTAGACCTTTCTGACTGCAGCTTGCCCACTTAACAAGCCTGTTGTGAGGGTATCCGCATGCAAGGCCCAAATACAAGATCGAAAGACAAACAAACACATTGGACCTTTTCTGTGGGATTCATATTGGCAACGGATCTGCCTTCTGGTTCTCTAAGTCGACATCCTCAGTGGGATTGCATACAAAACATCGGAGCTCAGTGCAACTTCCGTGCAACGTTTCACAGAAACCTCTCTCCTTGCAGTGCACCCGCAGAGAGTCGCATTTGGGAACATTGTCCCGAATCGGTTCGATGATCGCACCTGACAGTCAAAGGGCAAAAGGACGCTACTAGTAGCAGGGGCATCGCTAGTAGTAACAAGTGCATCGCTACTAGTAGCAAGAAGCTACTAGTAGCTATTTGAGCCAGAAAGAAGAAATACAGAGGAAAAAAAAACACAAGCACGGGTTCGCATTTCGTTTCGTTTTAAACACATAGAGTTTGCACAAACATGCATTCGCAGGTTCTTCAAGGTGATTGGGGAAAGCCGTTTCGTGCTTGAGGTCGTGGCCGAACAAAGCGCTGTTTGCATAGCCATCTTGGGGCCAACTACCCTCTTAGTCTGCTCCAAAAAGAAAACAACGAAGAATAACAAATGAAGACCTGACCTGAACAGGAAACTTGGAACAAGAAACTACTAGGGGCTCCTGGCATCACTACTAGGAGCAAGGATACTACTAGGTTCTCCAACAGGAAACTAGGAACAAGAAGCTACTAGGAACATAAAAGAAAACAAGGAAGAAAAGCAAGAAACGGAAAGGGCGTTCAACGGCCGAAAAGAAAGACAGAACAGAAACTAGAAACACAGCCTCGGACTCAACTGCCAAAGAGGAGCACCTCCTCCATTTTAGTTCAAGCCTGCAGCCTGAGCCTAAAAATTTGTCGTCTTTCTTCTTCTTTCTTTGCTACTAGGAGCAAAGGGCATCGCTACTAGGAACAAGGACGCTACTAGGGGCTCCTGGCCGTACTACTAGGAGCAAAGGACGCTACTAGTAGCAAGAAGCTACTAGGGGCTCCTGGCCACCTTGCTAGTGGTCTGCCCCGAGGTCCTCACCAGGGGAGACGATGCCAGTGGTGCTTCCAACCAGCAGCGGCATGTAGAAAAGGAACGGTCGTGGGGAGACGACTGTGACCTGCAGTGCTGGTTGGAGTGAATCTACTAGTGATGCCCTTGTTCCTAGTAGTAAGAATGCTCCTAGTAGCGATGACAGGAGGCCCTAGTACCGTCCTTGTTCCTAGTAAGGCCAGGAGCCCCTAGTAGCATCCGATCGCTCCTAGTCATCGATTCGATCAGGGAAAAATGACACAAAGCCAAAGAATTCAGAATCGTTGATGGTGGGAGGCCATCGCTACTAATTACTATTATATAATCGTTAATGATTAAAATCACACCGCCAGCCACCCTTTGATGGTCTCGCACAAATGACCGGTGAATTTTGCACAGAATGCTACTCCTTGCAGCTAAACAGCAAGCAACTTCAACGAACTCTTTCTATTTTCCTTCTTCAATTTTCTCCTGTCTTACATTTTCTTACAAAAAGGCACAGGACTTGAATTTGTCCAGGAACAAGAAGCTACTAGGGGTTCCTGGCATCGCTACTCGGAGCAAGGACGCTACTAGTAACAAGAGCACGCTTTCATTCTCAACTCTTGACAACCCCAACTCTTGGACACCCGGCATCGAAGGCCGAAGGATCAAGCTTCCGCGCGAAGGACAAGGCTCCCCAGCCAGAGCCCAAAACGACCACCTTCCTTGGGCCGCTGTGCCGCTTTTAGGGAGGCCATCGCTAGAAGCAAAGCATCCCTCCAAGTACCAGGTGGTCAAATTCAAGAATTCATTTAATTCTAAGTTTAATACCTTACAGGATCCAACTAGTAGCTTCTCGTTACTACTAGTAAGGCACTTGTTACTAGTAGCGATGCAATTGTTCCTAGTAGCGAACATAGAACTAAGGCTGTGTTGGCGCAAGACACGCCTTGTCACAATGTGACCGACCGTGTGATGAAGAACCCATTGATCATAACTGATTCTGTGATGGCCCCGATAGGCACTTTTTGAGCTATGAGCACCCCTAAACATGAGAGCGATGGCCTCCTTCGAACGTCCTAGCCGTACTACGAACCAGAAGGCTTCCTTCTTAGGCCAATGTAAGCATGCAATGGATCGGAAGGGCCAGCCACCAAATGGCTTAGCAAGCACTCCAGGGTCACGAAACAAGGTGAGCCCGCGGACCCAGAGGCAAAAAGAAGCGCGCAGCCCAGGAAAAATAAACAAACACACATTAGCAGGCCAAAACGAAGCATCAGCCCCCTCCAGGCTTCGTGGCAACCATGATATTTCAAGCATCGCGGTTCTGGTGCGCATCCGTCCACCCCCGTCTGCCACACACACCCCCGTCCACCCCTTGGTCAGTTTTGAAAGCCCTCCAAAACGGTCATAAAACGAGTGCAACGTGGCTTCTAACAACCCTTCCAGGAAGCGTGGAGCAGCATCAGCTCCCTCCACGCTTCACTTGGGCTGTCTTAGGCATATAGGACATTGCACACATTCTGGACACCCAAGTCCGTCATATAGGCCGCGCCAGACAGTTCCACTCGCACAATAACGTTCCTCCGCGAAGCATGGAGTAGCATTAGCCCCCCCACGCTTCGTTCTACTTAGCATCCATCTTCCTTCCACAGCCCCGTCCCGTCCACGCCCGTCCACCTCGTCTCGCTCTGCCCCCCACTAACGACTAAACTAAACGAGAACCCAAGCATCGGAGATTCTTTTTGGAAAAGCGCGCGCGTGTACTGCTGTGCCAGCGCTACAGTGCATCACACGCGGTAAAACGCTTCAGGGTCATTCGTCGTCTAGTGCTTATATTTTTTGCGTAGATTTCCGGCGGCGTGCATCGTTGGCATGATCAGGGCGTCGATATGGCGGAGATATGTCCCAGGAGGAGAGGATTTGTCGTTCGTTTTTCTCTGGCAAACCTTTGCGGGCTTCGATCTTAAGAATTTACAACGGCATATAGATAGAAATATCGTCGCAGTAAGAAGAAAACAAGACGGTTCCCTTTTTAGTCGGGTTGGAGGTTGGATGTAATATATATATATATACAGTATACAAAGATACATCAAGTGGCTGTTTTCAATTTCTGCAGCTAGTCTCCAACCCCATTGCAACATGGCTTCTGACAACCGTTCCAGGAAGCATGGAGCAGCATCAGCCCCCTCCATGCTTCGTTCCAACCATCAAATTTCAAGCGTTGCGGTTCTGGCACGCAACAATCCTGCCGTTTCGGCCATGACTGGACTGTCTGGTGCATGCGTTGTGCCATCATATAAGCCCTGCAACACAGCTCGCCTCGCGTCAGAACGTGCAGAACTACCCCCACCCATGCTTCGTTCTACTTGTGAACTGACCCGGAGCAGCCTGCACTGATGCTTGTGGTGCACCCATGTCCTCGTAACTAGCAAATCAACCGCGCAAGATCGCTCCACTCGCACAACAACGTTCTGCAGCCGCGAAGCATGGAGCAGCATTGGCCCCCTCCATGCTTCGTTCCGCTTAGCACCTTCCCCAGCCCCATCCCCATCCATGCGCCTCCCGTCTCGCTCCCCTCCATCTTCCCTCCC